CATATGTCTATGAGGTTGAGTTGGTTGATTGTATTATTGAGCTCTTCTGTATCTTTGTTGAGTTTTTTCCCAGTTGAGTTGTCCTTCTTTGAAAGTGGTGTGTTAAAGTCACCTGCCACTATTGTAGAATTGTCTATTGTCCCTTTTAATTCAGTTAATATTTGCTTCACAAATTTTGGAGCAGTTTCATTGGGTGCATAAATATTTATTATCGTAACTTCTTCTTTGTCATTTGACCCTTTCAGCATTATATAATGTCCTTCTTTGTCTCTTATGATGTTTTTCACCTTAATGTCTATTTTATCAGAAATTAATATTGCCACTCCTGCTCTTTTTTGTCTACCATTGGCTTGGTATATTTTTTCCCACCCCATAACTCTTAATTTGTTTTTATCTTTATGGTGAGTCTCTTGTAGGCAACATATTGATGGGTCTTCTTTTCTTTTCTAGTCCGCCGCTCTCTTTCTCTTGATTGGTGCATTTAGTCCATTCACATTTAGTGTAATTAGTGATAGATATGAATTGACTGGTGTCATTCTATTTTTTTTTTTTTTTGTCATGTTGTTGCTGTTTCCTTGGTGCATATACTTTTCTGTTCTGAGCTTGATTTGCTGTCAAATGCTTCCTCTCTTCTCTTCTTTATTGTTGGTTTTGTGCTTATTAAACCCATATGTTTCCTTTCTTCTGGCTTCACTTAGGGGGATTGTTAATTTTCTCTGTGGTTACCTTGGAATGAATTCTTGTCTCTACATCTTTAGAACAGTGCATTCTATGAAGATATTTTCTGTTTTCCCCTTCATTTGTAAGTCTGTACCTAGAAGTTTTATTCCCTCTAAGAAGTTAGTTGCTGTTATCATGTGCAGATTTTCTTTCTTGATTTTTAGTGTACAGTATTTTATGGTCCTATTTTGAGTTTCTATTTCTGATTTGGTTTTAGTGTTGATGTCACATATCCTGATTTTGTTGTTCTCTGTTGTGTGTTCTCTATTGGAAGGACTTCCTTAAGCATTTCTTGTAGGGTTGGTCTGGTTTTCACAAAATCCCTTAATTTCTGTTTGTCTGGGAATGCCTTGATTTCACCCTCATTTGATGGATAATTTGGTTGGATAGGATTCTTGGTTGGAAGTTCTTTACCTTCAGTGTTTTATATATGCCGTCCCATTCCCTTCTTGCCTGCATGATTTCTGCTGAGTAATCGAAGCTCAGCCTAACTGTTGGATTATTAGAAATAATATATCTTTTGTCCTGGGCAGCTCGCAAAATTTTTCTTTGTCTTTGGTTTGGTTATAATATGCCTCAGCGTTTTTCTCTTGGGATCTATCTTTTATGGGGTTCTATGACCTTCTTGATACTGCCTCGGAAACCCAAGGAGGGGTTGCTATGAGTCAGGGCCAACTCAACGGCAAATAACAACAACAACAACATGACCTTCTTGGACAGATATCTTTTCTTCCTTCATGATATGAGGGGAGTTTTCTGTTAGTAGGTCTTCCACAGTTTTCTCGATGTTTTTTTTTTTTTGTTGTTGTTGTTGTTGTTTTGGAACTCCAAAGAGGCATATGTTATTTCTTTACATGTCATCCCATATAACTCTTAGGTTCTCTTCATTTCTCTTAAATCTTTGTTCTGATTTTTCTCCATACAGGCTGGTGTCCAGGGATTTGTCTTCTAGTTGGGATATGCATTCTTCAGCCAGTTCTCTCTTACTCTTTTGTGCTTCCACTGCATTGTGTAATTCTGTAATTGTGGTCTTCATCTTCTGGATTTCTAACTGCTGTTTTTGTATGAGTTCTGATTGTGCATTAATCTTGTTATTTTGTTCTTGAATGATTTTCCTGAGTTCTTCCAAGGAACTGTTTATGTTCTCTTTGCTTCTGTTTGGGGTTTCCTTAGGCTCTTGTAAAGCTCTATAAACATATCTTCTAAATTCCTTCTCAGATAATTCTATTGCCTCCTCTTCCTCCATGTTTAATGAGACCTTTGTTTGTGGTTTTGCTTCTAATGCCTTGTCCTGTTTCTTTGTTTGATCTGAGGTTGCCTGTTGTTTCCTAGACATTTTGAGATTGTCTTTAACTGTTGGTTATGTATTGATTTGTTTTGTCTTGGTTTTATTATTTAATATTTTGAAAAGGTGGAGCTGGTGTATTTTATTTTTTTTGGTTATTAATTCAGGTGTGCTGGGTTGCTTTGTAGTTTTCTTTGTGATGATGGAATCACTGTGTGGAATGTGGATATAGGTCTCTGTTGTAAAGAGGGTTCAGAATTTGAACTGGGAGGTATTATGGTGGCTGAATGTGATTTTTTATGTTGGATGAGTGAGGGTATTTGCAGAGAAGGTGGAGGGGGAAGAGAGAAAAAAGGGAAGGTCCACATTGCTAGGGGCAGTTTCTAGGGCTTTGAGCAGGATGCTAATGATGATGTTGTACTGTTATTCATAGGCTCACAGCACAAGTTCAGCAAAACCTCCAGTTATCAGGGGATCACCACTTTCTGCCAGTATTTTTCTGCCAAAATCCCCACTCTCAGGGCCCCTCTGTGCCATAGAGCTGACCCAAGACAACTGGCCCACATCAATATCTGCCATGGGAGTTCCTCCCACGGCTCATGCACTTGTGGCACCAGCCCCCCCTCCCTGCAATCCACCGTGGGAGTTCCTCCCAGAGCCTGTGCACTTGCAACACCAATGATCTCCCTGCTTGGGTTTCAGGGGTGCTGGAGGGAGGGAAATGCTTGTTCATACCCAGTGGACCCAAGATTACTGACAAAGTCAAGCACCACTGGCCCCACAGTGCCAAAAAGCTGGCCCAAGCCCTTTCTCACAATCTGCTGTAGGAGTTCCTCCCAGGGTCCACCCACTTGTGGCGTTAATGGTCTCTGCTTAGGTTTCAGTGGTGCTAGAAGTGCCCACATGCATCCAGCAGACTCAAGTTTACCAATCAAAGCAGGTGATAAAGGTAGATCTGTGGGGTGAGTGCTGGTATACTGGCATGGTGCTTCTTTTTCCTTAATCCAGGGAGGTCTCTGATAGCCCTTCTTGCCTGCCAGTCAGTGTTCTGCAGGGAAGGCTCCCCTGTTTTTGTTATTTTTACCTGCTTCTTTCTCTTTTCTAATCCTACTCCCCTGAGTTTGGTGCAATTTGACTCAGTAAGCTGTTCAGAGCACCAGAATCCGTATTTCAAACTGCTGCATCTAGTTTTTCAGGCACTAAGATGCTAGAGAGAATTAACGTGGGGACTACTGACCAGATGCCATTTTCAGTCCTCAACATACAGTTTGAATAAGTATGGTGAAAGGATACACCCTCATCATACTTTTCCTGATTTTAAACCATGCAGTATCTCCTTGTTCTGTTTGAATGACTGCCTCTTGGTCTATGTACAGATTTCTCACTAGCACAATTATTTTTTTCTGAATTCCATTATTTCCACCATGAATGACCCTACTGGTCATTGAAATATTGGTGGCATAGTTTCCAGCATCACAGCTATGCACAAGCCACTACAGTATGACAAACAGATGAATGGTGGTCAACAATAGGGAAATATATAAATGAACTGTGGTACAATTTAACACTTGTTAAAGGGAGTAAACCAGGGCCATTATTACTGAATATATAGATGTCAGAAAAATGATGTTGAGTTAAAAATTTTTAGAATGGTACTGAAAACATGTTATCATTAAAAAGTCTTAAATAGATAAATAAATCTGTACATTGCTCATGAATATAGATGTATGCATGTAAAAGTTTAAGAACAGTCTGAATAAATAGACTTATAGTATATTGAATACCACCAACTTCCCTGAAACAATCACTATAAATATACTATGTTGTTGTTGTTGTTATGTGCCGTCGAGTCGGCCCCGACTCATAGCGACCCCTCCTTGGGTTTCCGAGGCA